ACGCTCTTTTGGAAATCTATGACCTTGCTTGCTTGAAAGATGCAGTAACTGTCACGGCCATGCCAGTCTGAATGATGGATATTCTAAAATGTTCCAGGGAGCACACAGCAGAGTCCTTCGTTGAAGGCAACAACGGCTTTACATAAAATCTGCCCCCTGCAGAGTTCCTGAGCTTTAGCAGACAGCCGGGTACACAGAGGGAAAGACAGGGCATTCGGAGCAATCAGCCGTGGGTTTGAAGTTCACTCTACACCTTAGTGAACATGGGGCCCCGGACAGGTTATTTCATTGCTCTGAGCCTCAGTTTCCTCACTGGCAAAAATGAGGTTAATAACACCAAATTTGAAGAGTTATGTTGGGAAAAAAGTACCTCAACAGGTGTACTGATTTCATTCTTGCACAACTAAGCCTTCAGGATGGGAATCTGTCTGCTGTAGCTTAAATTTTCACATGACACAAGCTTAACGTGTGTCCTTTGTCAAGTTATTGCTCAGTTTCTCCATCTGACGCGTCACCTCCCTCATAAGTATAAGGAGAGAACTTCTTGGAATAATAAGTCCTAAGAGAAGATCTATATTGCATGTCACAATATTTACTTTTATTACTGTTTATAGTTTTAAAAGAAAATTACAGTTTTTCTTATAGGAGTTTAGTTAAGTGAAATAGAGTTCCATGAGATTTGCAGTTTTTAAGTGGACCTGGGGGGCAGAAAGGAGTCATCTGTCCAAATCACACCGAGACCTTTAGTAGATACCCAGAACTATGCAATTACTGCTTTCAGTGACAGCTGTCTGCTAATATACCCAACACTTTTAAGCAGCCCCTTGAAAGTTTCTACAATAAATAAAACGACTTTTATCTCAAAATCTGAGAAACGTAATGCACATCTAATTCTGATCCACGAACAAGTTGATCTACTAGCGTCTCCAATCTACTTGTTGAGCGCTAGACTTTTTCACTTGTATTAACTTATTATCTCTTTGTTTACATATTTATTGCATGTTTTCCTTCCTACCAAAGACTGGAAACTGGCAGCTCATTAAAACCGGGAAGGCAGAGCCTCTAAATGCAACAAGAACAAGAAAGAAACAATTACCCACAGTAAACAAAAGAAAGTTTTCTCTGAGAGCTACATTAAGCAGCATACTTTGGATAGCTTTCATGCTCTGTCAACTTCCAGGCAGGCCATTAGAGGAAGAGAGAGAAGAAAGAAGGCAAAAAGACCTCAGAGCACTTGGCCGGGTTTCCGTAATGAGCTTCCTGTCTAACTTTCCAATAAAGGCCAGCTCCAGTAATGGGCCCCTGGCGCATTTGAGATTCCTAAGCCACATGTGTTGCTCCACACAGCTGCGGGAGGAAGAGACAACCAAAAGGCTTCCCTGCCTTTTATACAGCTCCTTAAAGGCGAGGTCCAAGACCTCATTCATCTCTCTAGCCCCAGCTCCCAGCCAGGATTAGGTGTTTGTAGAATCAATTTGAATATGATTATGTGTTTTTGAGGGTATTAGGTTAAAAAGATCCTTTAAATGACTTATCTGTGAAGCATATTTTTTCCCTGACCAAACTGTATTGGTTTCAGCGACTGTGTTAATGCACGTTGATCCCTGAATCTCCTCCTCCAGATACGCATGCACATGCTATGATCTGTTCTTGTTTCTCAGCCACTTATCCCCATATTTAACTCATCAATCATCCACTCTCAGGCTTCCTTGCCAGGCCAGATGCTTTGACTAGTTTTAACCTTGACTAGGACATTCCAGTGGCCAGTCTCTAAGATTATCCTTGATCCTCTGTTGTTAAAACGATGCAGGAAAATGAACCTAAGAACATTCTCCCCGTAAGGTGGAGGCTGGGTCTACCCCCTCTAGCCAGCCCCTGCTACCTCCAGCTGGCTTTTTTGAGCACTTCACCATCAGCGGGAACTCTACCATTCTCACCAGCAGCCTTCATTTCAGAGTCACCTGCCCCACTTCCACCCACCCACTGCCAAAGCTCTGGGAGAACTTACATCCTGGGAACTTACATCTCTGGGAATCCACTGGGGGTTGAGTTTCTTCATTTGTAGCGGTTTGGCTTCTGAGCAGTGGCCACAGTTGATAATGGAGGCGATAACGTCCCAGGTGGGTGAGGTCTGAGCAGCAGCACTGCAGGCCCAGCTATTGAAGACTTAGTGGCATGTTCTTTGTTAAAAGTGCTGAAGGTGGTCGCAAGCAGTTCCCATGAGCTCCGCCATCACTCTGCCCTCAGACAGGAGGTGTTTCAGAAGGCTGAGGTCTCAAACCTCATGCTAAGAGGATCCGAGTCAGTGACTACTGACTGCATTGTGTATGTCAACAAAATCTCTACAAGGCTTCCCCAGGCTAGCAGCCAGAGAAGCAACTGTTACCATCATAAACACCACTTTAATGAAGCAATTCTGTTCAATGATATCATGGCCAAGACCCAGATGAAGCTCCCCTGCAAAAGTGACGTTTTTTTTAAGACTTTATTTTTTCAGAGCAGTTTTAGGTTCACAGCAAAATCGAGAGGAAGGTACAGAGATTTCCCAAATCCCCTCTGCCCCTACATACGCATAGCCTCCCCCATTACCAATATCCCCCACCAGAGTGGTACCTTTGTTGTAACTGATGCACCTACATTGACATATCATAATCACACAAAGTCTGTAGTTGCCCTTAGGGTTCACTCGTGGTGCTGTGCATTCTATGGGTTTGGACAAATGTATAATGACACATATCCATTATTAGACTATCGTACAGAGTATTTTTACTGCCCTAAAGAATCCTCTGTCCTCTGCCTATTCATCCCTCTTCCCAAACCCTGAACCCCTGGCAACCACTAATCTTTTTATTGTCTCCAAAGTTTTTGCCTTTTCCAGAATGTCATATAGTTGGAATCATACAGTATGTAACCTTTACAGATTGGCTCTTTTTCACTTAGCAATATGCATTTAAGTTTCTTCCACGGTTTTTATGGCTTAATAGCTCTTTTCATTTTAGTACTGAATAATATTCCACTGTATGGATGTACCACAGTTTATTTATTCATTCACTTACTGAAGACATCTTGGTTGCTTGCAAGTTTTGCCAATTATGAATAAAGCTGCTATTAACATTCGTGTGCAGGTTTTTGTGTGGATGTAAGTTTTTAACTCCTTTGGCTAATTATCAAAAAGCATGATTGCTGGATCTTATGGTAGTAACATGTTCAGTTTTGTAAGACACCACCAAACTCTCTTCCAAAGGGGTTGTACCATTCTGCATTACCATCAGCAATGAATGAGCATTCCTGTTGCTCTATATCCTCACCAGCATTTGGTGTTGTCAGTGTTCTGGATTTTGGCCATTCTGATTGGTGCATAGTGGTATATCATTGTTGTTTTAATTCACATTTCCCTGATGACACATGATGTAGAGCATCTTTTATTATGCTTATTTGGTACCCGAATATCTTCTTTGGTAAGGTGTCTGTTATAAAAGTGACATTTTAATTAAACAGAATAATTCTCCTTAATAACAATGCAGTAAGCTACATTCTTCCCTTGCCACCTATCCTTAAAGTCATCGTTATAATAAGCCATCAAGACTTATAATAAAACTACAGTAATCAAGACAATGTGGTATTGGCATAAAAATAGACACAAGGACAAAGGCAACTTAGTAAAGAAAACTAGTCTATTCAAACAGTAGTGGTGGAATAATTAATAGCCATAGGAAAAAAACCTGAACTTTGGTCTATATATTGTATCATATATGGGCAAAAGATAGTACATACTATATGATTCCATTTATATAAGTCTAGGAAATTCAAACTAAACTATAATGACCAAGAGCAGATCAGTCATGGCCTGGGTAATGGAGAAGATTACCGAGGGTCATGAGGAAACTTGGGAGTGAAGACAATATATTCACTCTCTTGATTGTGGTAGTGGTTTCACAAGCATATACGTATATCAAAACTCATCAAGTTATGGGTCTGGCCCCGTGGCCGAGTGGTTAAGTCTGTGCGCTCCACTGCAGGCGGCCCAGTGTTTCATTGGTTCGAATCCTGGGCACGGACATGGCACTGCTCATCAAACCACGCTGAGGCAGCGTCCCACATGCCACAACTAGAAGGACCCACAACGAAGAATATACAACTATGTACTGGGGGGCTTTGGGGGGAAAAAGGAAAAAACAAAACCTTTAAAAAAAAAAAACTTGTTTAAAAAAAAAAACTCATCAAGTTATATACTTTAAGAAACTGTAGTTTATTATATGTCAATTATAGCTCAATAAAGTTGTTTTTTAAAAAGCCGACCAAAAAAATCATTACTCTATTTAAGAAAACCACCTGCTTCCTTACAAAAGAAAGAAGCAGATGGGGAAGATGGGAAGATGTCCACAGTATATTGCGAAGTGTGAAAACCAAGGTTCAGAGCCATGCTACTACTAATAATAGCAAACTTACAGAATACTTATTTGTGGCAGATATTCTTCTACATGCTCTATGCATAATAATTCATTTATTCTTGCTAATATTCATATGAGGTGACACTATTACTGTTTTTTTCCTGAAGAAGATTCACCATGAGTTAACATCTGTGCCAGTCTTCCTCTGTTTTGTATGTGGGTCACTGCCACAAACATGGCTACTGACGAGTCATGTAGGTCCATGTCTGGGAACTGAACCCATGCTGCTGAAGTGGAGTGCGCTGAACTTAACTGCTAGGCCAGAGGGCCAGCCCCTACTTTACACTTTTGTAAATGAGAGACCTGAGGCTTGTCCCAATCACACAGCTAATACCTCGGGAATGAGGGCTGCTAATCCAGCAGTGAGATCCTGGTCTGTGCTCTCAACCTCTACATTGGACAGCAAGATTCTACTTGTGTAAAATAACTGTGCCTGTGAGGGCAGATGTATTCAGATTAGGGAAGGAGAGTGAAATAGGGAAAAAGCACTGTTGAAAGGGAATTTTGCTCTTTAACGTGAATTCTATTGTTCTGTTTGAATTTTTACAGCAATCGGTCCTGTGTCAGTTGGTCTTTCTGGAAGCAGATGCTGAGAAGTTAGAAGTGCAAGTGGTTTATTGGGAAGTAACACCTGTGAAGAAAGATAAAGAGGAAGCAAGATTCCGCGGGGAGAGCCTCAGACGATCCAACGGACTGGCCCGAGTCTAGCCAACCCAGTGGAGAGCTCCGAAGCAAAGCTGCCCTTTAGAGGAGGCTCATCTCATGTTGAGTAGGATTGGCCAGACCCTGGTAGTCCTGCCGTGCTCAGACTTGGCTGTGGACTGCTCAGGAAAGCGGACCCTCGGCTTGAGCGAAAGCTCAGGAGGATTCTGAAGGCATTGCAGAGGAAGGCTGCCAACCACCGACACTGTGTAGCAGGACAAGTTCCCTCTTAAAGGGAGATCCGAACAGCTCTCCTCCTTAGCTGCCACACTACAAAATAGGGAGAATACATCCTCTTACAAAGCTCTTAAGCGTACGGTAAAGCTTCCAGAACTGGTTCCCAGAACTGGTTCTGAGACAGAAGATCTGCAATCATTATAAAGCATTGCAAATTTCAGTGAAATAGAAATGAGAAGAGATATTTACCCAACTACCCCAACTATTGATCAGAAGGTTTGAGAAATGTCTATTTGTTTAGTATGTTATTCCTCCCAGTGGAGAAGGGAAAAAAATGCCCAAGTTGTATACTGAGGCTTCTCCAAAAGAAATTGCCTCTTTATATCTGTCCAGTGTGGAGGGCAATTCAACCACCCCTTCTAAAGAAATTCTTTTCCAGAAGGTTTGGCACTTGGTTTGATAACACTATGTCAAGTATCACCCCTGCACTAGTATTTCTTTCTTTGTTATTATATTATTATTATATCCTTGTAACAGTTTCCATGCAAGGCAAAATAAGTCAAGGTGGAATCTGAAGTCATCAAGGCAAAAGACTCCACTTTTATTTTCAAATTCAATAGAATCAGATATGCAAGTAAACATGCTCAAAAAAGAAATAAGTTTGCTATTCCCAGTACTCTCCCAATCAAGGGAAAGGAAATAAATCTCTAGGTTATTGAGTGAAAGTGACATGGTGGACTGTCCTGGCAGGTCTCTCCTGTTTGAAAAGTGGTTGCACTGCTGAGCCATATGAATAATTAAGCAAGCACTCGCCACCTGCAGGAAACAGAAAATGAAGGATAAGTACTATAAAAAAAGAAAATCATTTTCACTGGAAATCAATAGTTCCAACTTGATAAACTGGCACAAAATTATTAATTCTCTATGTTTTACAAATTGAGACATAGAACTTTTTAAGCTTTACCTGCTCATCTTTAACGATTATAAATTCTTCTCTGTGTTCTCTCTTTTCCTTTTCAATCAATGCCCTCACCTCAACACACACACATACACGTGTTCACATATACACACTAGATTTTAAACATGTAACGTGACTACAGAAATAGATTGTGAATCAGGAGAAAAAAATTTGATACTCGTTATCTGCTACTGAATATTCTGCCTTAGGTTAGTCAGTTAATTTTTCATCTAAATTAATTTTTAATTCAATTTTTGCAAATGTCCAAGTAATGATTGAGTAAAAGATAAATATGCAAGCAGAGACACTTTCTGCAAAATGGAAATGTATTCCTAGTCCAAAGTCCCAGACAGAGTATCTCCCCCCTCATGTAGTGTTTCATCCCCAGCCTGTGTAAATACAACGGCAATAGCCAGAGAGCAGTTTGAAATGCCTGCTTAAGATGAATTTGATTGTGCATCCATCAGAAAACAGCAGAAATTCAAGACTGTGAATCAGGTGACATTTAAAACTAACTACCCTTCATTGAGCTTTTGCTGTGTTTCAGACTCTTTGCAAAGCACTTTACTGACATTATTCTATTTAAATATTAAACAACAATGTTAGTAGGTAGATATTAAAATCCCGATTTTAGAGATAAAAAAAATCAAACCTTAAAGGATTAAAAACCTCACACAATGAAAGACCCAGAATTCAAAAGCAGCTTTGCTTTACTCCTAAATCCACACGATAGTGACTCCATATAAAACAAAGGAACAGTGATGTTGGCTCTCAAACATCAGTGTCCATCAGAGTCACCTAACAGACTTGTTAAACCAGGTTGCTGAGCCCCGCCCACAAAGTCTCTGATTCAGTAGGTGGGGATAGGGTATTTGCATTTCTATCCAGTTCCCAAGTGATGCTCATGCTCCATTTTGAGATGCATCATTCAAAACCAATGGCTCCCAGACCTTTAGATTCCAGACAGCAAAACATTTTCTTAAAAATGTAGTTTTACAGAAGGTGACCAGATTTTATTGTACTAGGTTGCTTCATAAATATGCACACTTACATACACACAAAATCAACCCTATATTCTAGTGTCTCTATAATTTCTTTTTGTTTTCATTTTTTTAATGAAGGCATAATTTATATATCAGAAAACTGACCCTGCAAGTTTTGACAAACATATATAGTCATGTAACCAGCACTATAATCAAGGAACAGAACAGCGTCATCATTCCAAAAAATACCCCCAGGCTTCATTGTAATAAGCCCCTCCCCCACCCCCAGCCCATGGCAATCCCTGACATATTTTCTGTTTCTACAGTTTTACTTTTTCTAGAATGTCATATAAGTGCAATCATACAGTATGTAACCATTTTGATTCTAGCTTCTTTCTCTTAGTATAATGAATTTGAGATTCATCTATTTTGTTTTGTGTAGTTTGTTCCTTTTCATTCCTGAAAGACATTCCATTGTATGGATATACCACCGTTTGTTTAACTAATCCCCAGTTGAAGAGCATTTGAGTTGTTTCCAGTTTGGAGCAATTATGAAAAAAGCTTTCTAAACATTCGCATGCATGTTTTTGTGTATGCACCCAGGAATGAGATTGCTGAATGGTATGGTAAGGGTATGTTGAACTATATAAGAAACTCCCAAACAGTGTTCCCAAATGACTGTATCATTTTACATTCCCACCTACAAAGTTTGAGAGTTGTTCCACATCCTCACTAAGACTTAATATTGTCAGCTGTTTTATTTGTTTGCTTTTAATCTTAGCAATTCTCATAAAAATTTAGTGAGATTTCATTGTAGTTATAATTTGTTTCCCTAATGACTAATGATGGTGAGCATCTTTTTTTTTGTCCTCAAACTTTCTTCTTATTTTTCAAAATTGTCTATTCTAGTTCCTTTGTCCATGTAAATTCTAGAATCAGCTTGTTAATTTCTATAAAAAGTACTGCTGGGTTTTTGAATGTCGTTGCCTTGACTCTACAGACCAATTTAGGAAGAATTAAGGTTTGAACAAAATTGGGTCTTCCAGTCCATGAGTATATGGCATCTCTCCTTTTATTTAAGTCTTCTTTGATTTCTTTCATCAACATTTTCTTGTTCTCAGAATACAGATCTTTAACATATTTTATAAGATTTATACCTAAGTATTGCATTTTTTTGGTGCTATTGTAATGATGCTTTTTCAATTTCAATTTCCAGTTCTTCACTGCTAGTATATCAACAATTTAATTTACAAAGATGCTTTAGTGCTGAAAGTGAAAAGAATGCACAGTAAGGTGTCAATAAATATCTTTGGTTTAGTGAACGAATTAATGAATAAGTCAAATGAGAGGAAAACAGAGTAAGAAAGCAGCTTCAGGCTGTATAGAAGGAATGAAGCTAAGGAAGTAGTGGGTCGAGATGTCTAAATTCCATCCTGATATTGTTCAGCTCTCCTGTAGAGCTTATCTTGCATTCTTAGACCTTCAGACCCATGCCTCCTTCTTGACATTCTGATCTCAACTTATATGTAACTGACTCAGCCCCATCTCAGCCCCGCCCTGTTTTAGTTTTTTTCGTAACACTTTTTATTGTTCAACCTTTCCTTTTTATTGGCTTATTTGATTATTTTTGGTCTTCTCTCACTAGTTTTGTTTACTGCTATACCAAATTACTTAGAACAATGTATGACTCATAGATGGTATCTATATGTGTTTGTTGCATGAAAGAAGGAAAGGATACATAGATACAGGAATGAGTTGCAAAAATAACCATTTTTAAATAATACAAAAGTAAAACCTACTTAAAAGAGCAAAAAATATCATAACGTACTAGAAATATTTTTTTTAAAGTGTGCAAGATCTTCCTGAAAAAGATGTATAATATTTACTGCTGGACAGAAAAGAATGCCTGAATAAAGAAGATATTTATGATTGAGAAACTTAAAATCACAAAAGACATTAATTTTGCCTAAATAAAATTATGAATGTATAATAGCTAGCACTAGTGTGAGGGGAGTGAGACAAGTGAGGACCTTGACCAGGGTGCAAAAATTTAAAAGGGTACCAAGAAACTCTGTAATCAAGATAAATAACATTTTAATGCAATATGTTCTAAAACTCAAAATTGATGCAAAAGTCAGCGATTAACAAAGTATAAAAAATTTCCATAAGGAATTAAAGACAGGATCAATCCTGATTTTCCGTCTTACCTCTGCCTTCAATATGATTGGGTATGACAGTGTTATTGATCCAGTCTTTATTGAAAATTCTGATATTTTGTTATTCAGGTACTTTTGGCATTAATTTTTGTGTTCTAAAACATTATTTATCTTTATTATTGAGTTTTTTGGCAACCTCTTATATTTTGCACTTGAGGTAAATACCTCACTCACATCACTTGACTCACCCTAGTTTAGGCCCAGAAAATTTCTATGAAAATTACATAGGATTTTTATTTAATTTATCAAATTGGTTCTAAAGTCCATGTATAAGAATACAGGTCTGAGGATAGCCAAAAGGAATTGAAATCTAAAAGCCAGTCAATACTTGGCTAACATACTTAGTTAACATCCCAGGTCAGGGTATACACCCACTGCCAACTCAGGAAGGACAGAAATGAGTTACAGTAGCTGGAGAGTGTAACCAAGGGAACTGGTCAGGAGCAGCCAGATTGAGAGAATGAATCTGAAAGAGCTTCAGCTAAAAGAAGCCTCCAAGTATCCATACAGATTACAGCTGTAACCCAGAAAAGCACACAAGGGAGCCGAGCCCCCAGGATCAGAGTGGATGGAGGACTTGGCGGGTGGGCCTGGAGTCCTAGTTATCTCACTAGGTGATGTCAAGAAGACATGGGATATCTTTAAGGCCCTCCAGGTACAAAACATATCTGTTCATGGAGTGGTTTGGAAGAACTATCAACCAGATTTACAGTAGATGCCCCTCGCAAATCTTCTTGCCGTATGACGGCTTTGGATGGTCACTTGGATTTGACTTACCTTGATTTCTTGACTCCTACTCTGGATTCACCCCTGTTCCCATGATGGCCTGAAACATGGGTTCATCCCTTTTGATTTTCAGATTCCCCCTGCCTCCCTGCCACCTTACCTGGGCAATGAACTCTACCCACACCCTTAACCTCCCACCACCACCTCCCAGTCAGTTTCTCTCTCCTAGTTACAATCTTCATCGGCTCCGACTTCTAGCTCCTCATGAGGAGTCATACTGTTCACTTGTGACTAGCAGGACTGTATGACCTAGAGAGGAAGAAATACGTGTATTTTTCTATCC